TTTTTTCTCTTTTCATTTTATAGACTAAGTAACATCCAAGAGATGAAGGAGGTTGGACTTTACCTAACGGATCTTTGTATTCATGACCGCAGCAGAGAAATAGTTTTAGCTGGATGGCAGCATTGTGCTCGACTTGAGAACTCCTATGAAAAAGTAAGTCACTATAGTTGAGTGTGTGAGTAGCAATTGTAGGAATATGCAAATTAATAAGAATCCTTATTCTGAGGAGCACCTCACACATGCGGCATTAGATCGCTTGTTTTGGAAGTAATTATCCAAATACAGTATGTGTCAAATATTTAATCAAGAAAATACAGAAAAGTGTGTTTAAAGTTTCATTCAAAGTTCAGTGGTTAAACAAATAATATATCAATATTCTTAGGATATTGTTGGCAGATAAAAAAGTTAAAGATGGTAACCTATAATGATTTAAAAAAAACATTCAATTCTTTTCATATCGTACAGTGAAAACGTATTCTATACATAGTAAATTACAGTCAGTTGAACCGTTCTGACAAAAATACTTCATATCAGTGTATCCCATCGTGAATACTAAATATCTGAGGCTCAGGTGAAGCCTAGCTGGAAGCTCTTTTCAATGTTTGAAGATTAATATTAAACCCAGAGTCGAATTGTACGATAATTAAAAAATATGTTTCGAGCACAGTAACAAACATAGAGTATACGTTGTAGGAGCACTACAGCGTGAAAATGAAATACCGCTCATACTTTATTATATCAAAATAACATGAGAAATAAAAGACTTGTCACATTGAAAAGTTTAATGAAATACGTCAGTCAGTCGGGCTTGTGTTTTTTCTTACCTACTCCATTAACATGTATTTGTTTCAATACACAGTAGTACACATGAAAAACAAGGTGAAAAATACGTGGTTGCTCTATATAAATTTGAGCCGTTTAATATTACTTATTTTTCTTTCGTAAGAAAGATACACGTGAAAACACGTGAACAACAAAATTAACTATATAGATTTGTGCCTCTTCATCTTATATCTCATTTTGTAGAACGTTATACCTGTATACTTATTATTACAGTGAATAAGTATTTTGATGTCCTAAGGCAGATTTAAAGCATTAGAGTAAAGTGTTTGGATCTTATTAATGTTATTAAATCAATAACAAAGAGCTCATACATTTGTATAACTTCCATTTAGCTTGAGTGAATTCCTTATTAAACTAATTATCAGGCCTGCTAAACGTTTTTGAGTTGAAAGCGGGAACTGTTTCTAGTATTAAGAACTGACTTCTGGGAATGTACTCAACTGTACTTTCGTTTCTAGATTTGTATTTTAATACTTGGAGCACATATATATATACAAGCTAGAGGTAATGTTTTTTGTGTGTGTAAAGAAAAGAGTATCCACCAAAAACATTTTCATTAGAAATAATCCAAAATTAGCTAAAACATTATGATGATAATACAGGTTTGCTTATTGTGACATGTTTTACTGTCCGCTTTCGTAATGGAAGACTTACAGTTGTACAAGTTGTGAGCTGTACTGATGAAAGGTGAAGAACATCTCTTCTACTGTTTCAAATTCGATGATGATGATGACAAAACCTTGTCGAAACGTTGTACATTTACTGTTATGTTAAACTTATATTAAAGTTTTTCTTCATTACCCATTCAAGCCGTTATTTATCTCTTCTACTGTACTTGATTGCAATACGCTTCAGTGTCAGTAATTCCTAGGCAATCTAGCGTCTCAATATCTTTCTACTTAGAGCTCTCGTTTGCAGTCTCCTCCACGTGTTTGGTTTCTTTATCGGTGCCTTTGCGTAATAATTTGTCCTTCGTGTTAACAAGATCGGTTCCCTTCTGACAAATGACAACTTTAGTTCAGTCAGCCTGAATATCTCTTTCACTCGGTTTCGCTTGTACCACTAATACGAGCTCCATGATCCGTATAAATTTAACAAATATCACTAGCATGATAAATACAGAGAATATGCTGAATTAACGAACTTAGTGTTTCAAAAATCGTAGATTTACTAATTATCATTACTTTCAATATGTGTAATTTTTCTATGTTACAATAATAATACAATTACTGAACTTAAACTAGTTTTTTTTTAATGGTTAAGGAATAAATTACCATCCATGGATCCAATACATTATAGTAATCTTCATGTTCATTAACATTCGGCTGTTACAAATCAGCGAAAACACAAGTAGCTTCTACATCATTTCTATATAAACCCTGGCCATGTCTTACTACAGTATTACTATTATGCGTGCAACTGTAAGTTAACAAAGAAATATTTCAACTCTCCAGTAAGTATAACCCAATATTAGATTTACTACACGGCGCGTTATTACGTGTTTTATTACACGATTATTAGACATGGTAAAATTCTTGTAGATCTCCTTGATACCACCATGTTACAATCGTGCTGTACTTGTACGTCTCTTATCAATCTATTTTATAGCGGAATTGACTCAAACTAATATACATAACAAATTATTGTTTATTACTATAATCAACAACAAATACATTTAGAAGTAGGTTTTGCTTCTTACTGGCTGTGTACTACTTATTTCTTTCTCTTTGTTTATTCGTTTTCTCTTACATCTACTGGTCTTTTTTTCTTGTTGTTGTTGTTGTTGAACTCCTATGATTTATATATCTTTTTCAAACCCACGCCGAACACATATGTTTTCCTTATACTGGATTACAACGTCTCATAATCATATAAGGTTCGTAAACTCCACAGCGGTCGATCAAGAAAGGCAGCCGCTCTCTCTAATAGTTTACTAATGACTTAAAATGCTGTAATCTTCTAATTACCTAGGGACTGACCAAACCTCACCCATGTTTCTTACATCTAACTTCATAACACATTTCCTCCTTTTCTGAATACAATAAACAATGTTAATTATATTCAGTGTTTCTGTCTAATTTCGATGTTATCCCAGGCTCAAAACTTCCAGCGTATCCTGCTCTTCTTGTTCAACCATTTATAGTCTTTTTGTGAAATATTGATAATTTCATTGTCCTTACATATACCATACTACAGTTCACAATCGTTGTCTCTATATGTTATAAACTTCACAGTCACAAACACACACATATATATATCACTGCAACTGTTTAGAGCTCTAACCAGTAAATTCACACATTCTTACTTTTCCATTCACTTTCATAATCAGACGTCCACACACAGTATCTATCAGTTTTAACCATAATAGGATGGAACTTCGGTCTCGTATCTATATAAAATATATATTAGTGTTAATCATAAATCCCTAGTGGGAAAACGGAAAGTTTGCGGACTTACAACGCTAAAATCTAGTAGTAACCATAGTAGGATGAAACTTAAGTCCCGTATCTATATATAATATATATTAGTGTTAATCATAGGTCCCCAGTGGGAAAACGGAAAGTTTGCGGACTTACAACGCTAAAATCTAGTAGTAACCATAGTAGGATGAAACTTAAGTTCCGTATCTATATATAATATATATTAATGTTAATCATAGGTCCCCAGTGGGACAACGGGAAGTTTACGGACGTACAACACTCAAATCTAGGGATAGATTCCCCGCGGATGGCACAGCAGATAGCCCAATGTGGCTTTGCTCTAAATCAGGCAAATAAAATTTTACAGAACGAAGTCACAAACTGATCTTAATAACTCAAATACGAGTACACGTACGCGTTTCGATAAGTACTTGTTGTTTTATAATGTTCTGTAAAATTAAACTCCTGTAGCAGTTTTCTGCTTTCTTTCTTTACTCTGTGCATTAAGATTAAAGGTTTGTTTTCTATTTTTACGAAAACTGCTTCTTTCATACGTGGCAGCTCTATCAACAGAACTACCCTGCCTTCCACTCGAATTCTCTCTGCCTATCTTCTAAATCTAGCTCTAAACGTTTCTTCTCAGCTTATAGGTGTTTCATTTTAACTGTATCTTAGCAAATCTTGAATCGTTCCCATGACAACTTCTACGAACACCACTTGCAGTTCCCGTATTTTCACTAAGCTCAAGGTTAGAAAAATCATCTATTGTGATTTCCGCCTCAATTAGAATTTCACATATCTAATAATTTTCTCCATTTACTGTTGCGTGTTATACCCAGTTCTCTACATTTATTTACCAACTAGCTTTTTCAATGATTTCCAAGTCTCATCCATGCTAACTTAATTCTTTATTCTTAAGCAATGAACCACACAATTTAAAACCAGTAAGAATTAACTGAACCACCATCAAAATCAAAACAGGCAAGATAAGAACAAAAATTAAATCTAATTTTCCGACTTCATTGCTTCATCCAACTGACTTCACTCTTCGACTTTTGTTGATGTAATTTCAACTACAAACTCTTCTTTCATTGTTGGGTTTCGATTTCTAACGAATTGGTGAATCACACTTCTGACATTTTGTTGTAAATCGCCTTGACATCACTTTGCACTCCTTTTTCCTTTCTTATCCATCTACTTTATTGTGGTTGTACGTATTGATATCAGGAATTGACCCATTCAAGTATACATTATAGTACAAAAAAGTCACGCGACACACCTCTGATTGCAGGAAAATGGGGGTGACGGCAAATAGTTTGGCCTGTACAGGTGATCAGCAATTCGCTCGGAAGTCATTTCGAACTTGTACAACCGAAAGATGAGTACACCGAAAGAGCTAACAGTTTCAGGAAAGGATAGTTGGATGTCATTTGAGGAAAATGTCCGTACGTGCTATTACAAAAACTAAACATTTCCGGGTCGACAATTGACAACGTGCTGAAGAAATGGAAGTCCCAGGTGACAATGAGCCCAAGAAACGACCAGGTAGGCATAAAGTATTGACGGACAGGAGGCCACTCGCTTTGAGAAAGCTGGTTACCTCATCTCACTAGCAGACCCTAGAGGATCTGTGTTTGGAGATGCGAGCAGCCACAGACAATCCTATATGTGTTTCCACGACACATCGAGAGCTGCATGCCATGAGTTTTCACGGAAGAGCTGCAGCCCACAAGCCGTTGATAACAAAAACAAATGCATACCGTTGACTGGCATATGGCAAGGCACACCGAACCTTGACCGTGAATCAATGGAAATCAGTCCTGTGGAGCAACGAGTCACGCTACACTCTCTTCCCGTCTGATGGACGTGTTTGGGTATGGAAGCCTGGAGAATGCTTATTAAGTTTGTAGGTGGTTATATATCAGGGTCTGGGGTGTTTCTTGTGGTATGGACTAGGTCCACTGGTCGCAGTACATGGATCCATGAATGATGAGTCCTACATTGATGTTCTGAACAATTCTATGCGTCCTACATTATAGCAATTTTATGGTACCGGCCCTTACACCTTCCAATGTGATAACGCTCCATGTCACAAAGCAAAGATTGTGAACAGGTGGTTTGAAGAGAATAACATCGGAACATTGCAGTGGCCAGAACAGAGCCCTGTCCTAAACCCGACAGAACATCTTCGGGATGAACTAGAACGCAGAATCAGGGCAAGGCAAAGACGGCCTTCTTCAGTAGTGGAGTTTACTAATGCTTTAAAGGTGGAGCATAATACCACCAGCTTTCTACCAGAAATTAGTAGACAGTCTTCCACGATGCATTGAAGCAGTCATTAAGGCCAAAGGCAGGCCAACACGCTATTAATTTCCTGGAATAAAGACATGTTTTATTCATAACTACCCGTTTCCCATTACTTTTGGTAGGATAATGTATATAATCAATTGCTGTTTATTATTATAATTAACAACACATAGATTTAAAACTAGATTTTGTTTCTTTCTGGTAGTATATTACTTCTCTCTTTGCCCCCCCCTCTCTCATTGTTTATTCATTTTCTCATACATCTTTGGATCTTTTTTGTTGAACTCCTGTCTTTTATATATCTTGTTCAAACCCACTCTGATTCGATCCGAATCGTGGTAGTTATTTAGGCTTAAATACCTTTCAGACCCCTAAGGGCGGTCAGAAACTTTCTGTTTCCACACTCTGAACACACCTGTTTCTTTTATATCGGATTACAACGTATGGGGTTCCTTAATCTCCATAGAGGCTAAACAAGAAAGGAGTCCGCTTCTTCTAATAATTTCCTAATGACTGTAATCCCATAATCTCTCAGGGACTGATCAAAGGTCGGACGCTTTCCTACCTCTTTCAACCCCAATCGATGTTCCCTACTCCTAACTTCATAACAAAATCTCAAATGTTGAGGTCGAAACATGTTTATGGCAACTCCATGGGACTACCAGATAGAGTTAAAAGCCATGTTTCTCTTACTTAATTTTTTTGATGAAAGTGACTACAGATGTTCGCCACCAGTCACAACCTTGCTGTTGCTAGTAGTAATGGATGAGATTTCTTAGGATATTCTGAATACAGCTTGTTACACAAATACTGAAAATATAAAGATCATAAGACTATAGATCAACTAAATATTTGCAACATCAAATTGTTTACTTTTTTGTTTTATTTACGGCAAAGCTACTAAGGCCGACGTTCCTAGTTTTGAGCTACACAACCCACAGCCATCTCTTGGGCTATTCTTTACTAATGCCACAACATAACTTCCACATAGCTGAAAGGGCGAGCATGTTCTGCAACATCAAGAAAAGTTTATATATGCTCTCTAAATTTAATACCTGCAGAAACATTGCCTAAACATATTACTCATATGAGGTATCGAAGTCCTCAAGGAAGGTGTTTGGTATTTCTAATGTAAATACCAAGTCTCGCACACAAACAAAATGTTGTTTAAAGTATGATTTATGCATATGTACAATAAATTTACCTAGAGACTCCGAGACCAAAACCTTGGAGCACTACTTAACAAGATAAGTAGTTTAAACACTGAGCTATACAGAGTGCAAGTATTTCTGAAGCTTCCAACCAAGATCGCCATACAATATTCTCAATTTATGTATATATTGTATATTTGTATAGTTATATTTTCATGCAGCTTAATGACAATGTGTGTTTCTTACATATTTTGTTGTCCTTAAAGAAAATGACAGGGATTATCTATCTATCTGTCCACAGAAATACCCACATTTTCAAAGAGTGTGTAAAAAGAAACAGACTTTTCTTTCCTGTAAGACACCCATATCGGAGAATAATCAACAAACGTACACCGATAGTATTAAGGGTGCGTAACAGCCAGATATCACTTCTCAACACAGTCGCTATTCCACGAGATCCATCATACCAGTTCCGTGTAAAATGTAGCTATAGTGCTAAGAATCCACTTGTGATACTCGCAAACTCTTCCTGAGAAAGCAAACAAAGACGGTTTATGAGGGTGTTATGTTATACAGAATTGGGAACCTTGAACCTTATAATTGTAATAGTTTCAGTCGTCCTCAAGTTGCATAATAACAACTCCTAGCAGTGGACGGACACTGACCAATTGACATCACTGTTCTTTGATCGCATTTATTACATATCTAGCGTATGGGAAACAAAAATCTGATCCCTTATATTTATAAACTACTCGAGTACAAACTAATATCCAAACAAGACCTTCAGGGAATAATAATTATTTGATTGGTGACCTAGATATGCTGCTAACAGTTTACCAAAATTTGTTTTTTACAGGAGATTCATTATATTTACTCTGGCTAGAAACTGCTTAATTTTATTGGTAATCTTATAACTGCTTTCTAATTACCACGAATTGTGCTATTTTTACGTTATAATATTTCATTTCTTCGTTCAAGTTTAATAAGTCGTAGATATATATATCTAAGATAAAACAATTGTTTTGCAAATTATAAGATGTAATTTCGTTTGCTTTTACCTAATTTCTTAAACAGTGTATTTAGAGAGAGAAAAAAACTACATGCAAATATATATTGTTTTTGTTTCTATTTCCCATTTTACTATTGTCCAGTACATGAAAATAAAGTTTAATCTTTACCAATTCAGCAAGAAGAACGCAGTAAAAGACTTGAAATGAATCTAAAGATGTGGGACGAATGGAAGAAGAAAGGAGACGAAATGTTATATTCTATGATCCCTAAACCAGTGGCAGAACGACTTGCGAATGGGGAGGATCCGATTAACACTTGTGAAGTGAGAACTTTTCTCGTGTTTTTTTTTTGTGTGTGTGTATGTGTTTTGTCTTTTGTTTTCTGATGGTTTAAAGATATAGACGTAACAAACGTAACAACAATAAGTAAATTTGCATGCCAATTCACTGCAGCGCCTAAAACAAAAATGGCTCTAGTGGAAGTCTATATGTCTCCTTTTGCTAGTTTTGAATAATAATAAAGGTCCGAACGTGACCTAGTGGTTGTCGTGCCTCAACTGTTAGTACGATATCTCATCGTTCCTGACCTCTTGATGCAAAAAACGCTCCGCACTTGGGGACCATGGTTGCGCCAATAAAATAGTATGCTAAATCCTACTAGTCGATCAGACAAGAGAAATCCAAGAGTTGGTGGCGGGTGACGTAAAAATGTATAGTTAAATAGTTATACCCGTAGGCGGGTTTAATTTTTATTTTTGGTCTAAATAACTAGCTTTCTCCGATCGGAAGTTATTATTAAATACGTAAAGTACCTGTAACTTCAACAGTTTATTATTGATATTATACATACTATTTTTATGTCTTACATTTTGGGGGGAAAGTCGAAGAAAGACCATACTTTTTGTGTTAACTTGATATTCTTAAACAACAACGACCTCTGAACTAAGTTTAAAAAAAAACAGTTAAGAAAATATTAAACTTTCTTATATTTATGTCTTTCGAGTTCAAACTTATCCAAGTATTTCCACTTCCTCATACACTTTATTATTATAGTTTCAAAGTTTTGTAAAAGTTAATTTTAGATGAAAGGTAAACAAAAACAAAAAACAATATTCTCCAAAATGAAACGTTTTTTTTGTTTTATTTTATATACAGAAACTATGTTTTCAACATCCATTTACGTCAAAGCGTAATTCACTTCCCAAGAATTAATTATAAAGCTATTTGGGCAGTTCTGAAAATAAAGATTACACTGGCTTATGAGATTTTGGAGAAAATATAGATTGAGGGGAGCTCGAACCCAGGGCCAGTATCACGTATATTAAGTAACACGAAAGCAGCATCTAAGGGAATATTAGTGCAAGATTCCACATATTTACTATATATATAACAGTGTTCACTAAATACAAAAACATGAAAAATGACTGATATTACCCGAATATTTCTTATGTTCGACAGACATTGTTCACTAAACACAGAAACGGGAAAAATTACTGACATTACCCAAACATTTCCTCTCTGTGACAAACATATTCACTAAATACAAAAACATTAAAAGTGACTCATATTACTCGAATATTTCCTATATATATATATATATGACGGTCATTGTTGAACTAACTACAAAAACGCGATAAAAGACGTATATTACCCAAATATTTCCTATGCATGATAGGGTTTATTTACTACATACAAAAACATTAAAAATGACTGATGTTTCACGATTATTTCAAATATATGGCATACATTATTCACTAAATACAACATTTTTAAAAAAATGACTGAGTTTACACGAATATTTTCTACTGGCCGTCCTTACCCGGCGTTTCCCGGATATTATCTGAACAGAGGGCTGATGTTTAGCTATTTTTAAACAGAAAGGATAAATATTTCGCTTTTCGCTTTTTACATGTCAAATGCATAAAAGTACAAATACTGAAAAGAAAGACATACTGTTTACAAGCATTCTATGACTATGAAATTAGTAGGAACAAACATTTAAACATAGTCATTTCCGCTAACAATATGAATTCTAGCATTTTTATGAGTTTTTTTAACCTGTTTTTACGAGACTGTTATTGTTTAACATTATTGGCGGAAATTATGATATGAATTCTAACACTTTTATCAGTGGTTTCTTTTAAAAAATTTAAACCAATAACAGTTTTGTTTGTTTGAAGTTAAGCACAAAGCTACACAATGGGCTATATGTGCTCTACCCACCACGGGTATCAAAACCCGATTTCTAGCGTTGTAAGTCCGCAGACATACCGCTGTGCCACTGGTGGGCAAACAGTTTTGTAAAATCAGGTTTAAAAAAAAAAACGTTGTACGGAATAAAACCCAAACTCTTGTTCAGCCTTCTATTTAATTACTATAATAAATCACTCTTTTAACTAACCAAACTACCTACTTTGTAATTTAAAATCAAAGACAATATTTAGTAACTTATACAAACACAGTATCTATGTGGTTTCGATGTAAAATTAAACCTTTAATTTGACAATGTATTATTTGAAGTATGAAAAAATCCTTTATTTTGCCTCTGCATAGTACCTATAATTGTATTTTTCTTATGTTTATTGTATCGAAGTAATGCATTTATATTATATACTAGCTGGAGTACCCATCACTTGGATGGAAGTTATGTAAATTCATGATTAATGAAAGGTTATCTTAAGACATCTTAGGTGGTTAGGGCGTTTGACTCGCAAGTTTAGGGTCGCGGGTTCGAATCTCCCTACTACTAAACATGCTCGCTCTTCCAGCCCTAGGGGGTTATAATGTGACAATCATTCCTACTATTCGTTGGTAAAAGAGTAGCTCAAGAATTGGCGGTGGGTGGTGATGACTAGCTGCCTCCCCTCTAGTCTTCCACTGCTAAATTAGGGACGGCTAGCGCAGATAACCCTCGTGTAGCTTTGCGCGAAATTAATAATAAACAAACAACAAATGTACATGGCTTCACTAAACTGTCAGGATGGATCCCGAGACCCAACATACTGGTGTGGAGTCCCTTTTGTTTTGCTGTAATATTAAAACCTTATGTCTTATCTAACCCAATATTTGAAATTCATTAGGTTTAAACGAATATATATATATATATATTCATATTTTAAATCTGTAATTTATAAGTAGTATTTCAAACAGTCCTCCAGTGGCACAGCGATATGTCAGCGGATTTACAACGCTAGAGACCGGGTTTCGATACCCGTGGTAGGCAGAGCACAGATAGCCCACTGTGTAGCTTTGTACTTAACTTCCAACAAACAAACTCTAGTATTTCAAATTACAGTTGCTATTTTATCTTCTTTGTTTTTTTCAAATTACATACTTTAAATAAAGACTAGTAACAGAGAAAGATAATAGCTTGATATTTTCTCGTTTTGCACTATGATATTCCTTATATCAAACTTATATTTTAATTAAACTTTATTACCAAAATTTGGAATTCGTCCTGTTGATTGTGGTTAATTTAACTCTTATATAGTGTCAGGAAAAACTCCGCACTATACCATACAAACAACTTAAAGTAAAAAAAAATATTAATTAATAAAAATATTCTTCTAGATGTGCAAACCATGTATAAGCAATGGTCCACATGGTGTGATTAAAATGAACACATCTTTTCGCTCTCTTTTCTCTCTCTATATGCACTCCTGTTTCATATTTTCAGACTTTTGAAGAAGTATCCGTGTTATTCAGCGAGGTTGTGGATTTCTCAGTCCTTTGTTCACGCATTACTGCACGTGAAGTAGTTTCGTACGTGAATGACGTGTACATCTTGTTTGATAGAATTATCGATCAGTACCGCGTCTTTAAGGTATGATTGATGCTCGGTATCCATTTACAAATTTTTTTCTCACATATGTTGCTACTTTAATTCAAAATTAAAATTCACTTTATCAGAAGGTTTATTTTAAGAGAATCGAACAAATATAAAGCCAAAAAATATTGCAATCTAATTTCCTGGAATATTACACAGAATCATTTAATGAATGTCTTCATTGCTTCTAGATATTCAATGTATATGAAAATAAAAACTAAATGTATAAACGTGGCTATTAATAATAAAATCACATGAATATACATATATATTCGTCCGATCATCTGAACGTTTTTTGCAAGGTAGACTGCTTTTACTCTGGAGACAAATCTCCTGATACAAAAAAAGGCAATCTTCCTTCCCAAATAGCCATGTTTATCAAATGTCTTACACTGCAGTTTTTCTGGTTTGTTTCCCCCTAGTGTCATAGTATTAAACTTATGGCAAACCTACTGTTATTTTAAACGAATAATCGAAACTACGTGCAAATAAGTCTCGGGAACTAGTAAACAAAGAAAGAGTAAAAATAGAATGGTTTACAATAGCAAGCAAATAAAGAAGTATCATTTATGGTACGACATTAAGTACGACATTTTTTTAACAATATTGCAGCAAATTTTTTACAAAGTAAACGTTGTGTAGTAACAGGATCGGTGCTTACGATAAAAAAAACAAGGAATACAAATCAGAGGTGCGCAAATTAGCATTTGATTTGGATTATTTGAAATATACAATGGAAAAATTAGTGGAATTATAAAAAAAAATCTTCAGTTTAACGTGACTTTTATCACAAGTATTAGTCCTATTTCTTTTCAACGCTTTGGAATCTTTTGACGTTTTAAACCCTAACTATAAATGCTGAATAACTTCTATCTTTTGTTTCTCGACAAATATCACACATAGAAAGATATTCATTTGAATTATGTTTACTGTTTCTTTCTTTTCTTTTCTTTTCTTTTTTTAGTGGATTATTCTACAGGGCTTCAAAGAACAGGAAGTAATGCTGAATTTAAGCTTGTTCTCTGAAGCCCACCAGTGTACAGTACGTTATCTGAAGGTTGGTTTACAAACATAATTTAAAGGAGCTAAGTCTGTTGGTTTAGATAAGATTAGATACTTATTTTTTTCTTGCTTCGACTTAGCCCAAGGTTAATGCTGTCTGAGGTAACCTAGGAAACGTGACATAATTCTTAAAAGAAATTGATGAAAAACAATTAGTAAAACACACGGTTAAATTAGTATATATATGTATACCTAACTAACTTACTTGTGCTTAACTCTACACAAACAAACAAAACTTTTTTTATTATTCTAAGAAGGTAATAAACTAATTTGATTCCTTTCTTTGTAGATATTTTTTTTAATTCACTAAAACAGAAAAATTAAGCATTTAAACATAAAACTGGAGAATAACGAGTGTATTTCACTGTACTGAATGAAACAAGAGAAATTGAAAACATTTTAATAATTTCATTTT